AATTCGGGATGGGAAATGAGAATTCCAAAGGGATTTTGGGATGGCAAACCAGAATTCCAAAGATCTTCCATGGGAATTTGGGATGGGAAATGGGACTTCCAGAGGGATTTTCCTTGGGAATTTGGGATGGGAATAGAGAATTCCAAAGGGATTTTGGGGTGGGAATCCAGAATTCCGAAGGTTTTTCCATGGAAATTTGGGATGGAAAACCAGAATTCCAAAGGGATTTTGGGGTGGGAAATGAGAATTCCAAAGGGATTTTCCATGGGAATTTGGGATGGGAAGTCAGAATTCCAAAGGGACCAGGAAGGAAAACCGGAATTCCAAAGGGAATTTCCATGGGATTCTGTGGGAATTTGGCATGGGAATTTTGGGAATTCCAATGGGTTCTTAGAATTCTGTGGCAATTTGGGACGGGAAATGAGAATTCCAAAGGGAATTTGGGATGGAATCCGGAATTCCAAAGGTTTTCCCATGGAAATTTGGGATGGGAAACCAGAATTCTAAGGGATTTTTCCTGGGAATTTGGGATGGGAAATGAGAATTCCGAAGGGATTTTGGGATGGAAAGCTGGAATTCCAAACAGTTCTTAGAATTCCATGGGGATTTGGGATGCGAAACCAGAATTCAAAAAGGATTTTGGGGTGGGAAAACGGAATTCCAAAGGGATTTTCCATGGGAATTTGGGGTGGGGAACCAGAATTCCAAAGGGATTTTTGGGTGGAAAACGAGAATTCCAACGGGATTTTTCCGTGGGAATTGGGGATTCCCAGCTGGAATTCCCGGAATTCCCACCCCCCCCCCATTGCCTGCCCCAGTTTTTCCAGGATTCCCTGGAATCGCTCCCGGATAAATCCTGGATTTGTCCCCTGGTGACCGAAACCTCCCGGCAGCTCCGCGGCTCCGACGGATCCCAGCGGGAAAAGGTGGGGAAAAACGGGAAAAATCTGGGAAAATTTGGGAAAAATGGGAAAATCTGGGAATGGGGGAAATCTGGGAATGGGACAAAATGGGAGTGGGTAATCTGGGAATGGGGAAATTTGGGAATGGGGAAAAAATGGGAATGGGGAAAAAATGGGAATGAGGAAATCTGAGAATGGGGAAAATGGGAATGGGGAAATCTGGGAATGAGGAAAAATGGGAAAGTCTGGGAATGGGGAAAATGGGAAAAATCTGGGAAATCTGGGAAAAGGAATGGGGAAAATTTGAGAATGGGGAAATTTGGGAATGGGGAAATCTGGGAATGGGGAAAAACGGGAATGGGGAAATCTGGGAATGGGGAAAATCTGGGAATGGGGAAATCTGGAATGGGGAAATCTGGGAATGGGGGAATGGGGAAAAAATGGAATGAGAAAATTTGGGATTGGAGAAATCTGGGAATGGGAAATCTGGGAATGAGGAAATCTGAGATTGGAAAAATGCGGGAATGGGAAAATCACAGAATGGGGAAAATCTGGGATTGGGAAATCTGGGAATGGAGAAATCTGGGAATGGGGAAAATCTGGGAATGGGAATAGGAAAAACAGGATTGGGGAAAAATGGGAATGGGGAAAAATGGGAATGGGGAAATCTGGGAATAGGTAAAATCTGGGAATGGGGAAATGGGAATGGGGAAACTGGGAATGGGGGAATAGGGAAAAAATGGGAATAAGGAAAATGGGATTGGAGAAAAGTGGGAATGAGGAAAATCTGGGAATGGGGAAATGTGGGAATGAGGAAATTTGGGATTGGAGAAACCCGGGAATGGGAAAATCTGGGAATGGGGAAATGTGGGAATAGAGAAATCTGGGAATGGGAAAAATGGGAATGGGGAAAACCTGGGAATTTTCCCTGCTCCATCCTGAGGTTTTCCCAGCTGAAATTCCCAATTTTTTTATTTTATTTTATTTTATTTTATTTTATTTTATTTTATTTTATTTTACTCCATTCCAGCTGTTCCTGTACCAGTGCCTGGGCCTGGCCCTGGCTCTGTGTCCCCGGGCGGGGCTGGTGCGGGAATCCCTTGGGAATTCTGGTTTTCCCATCCCAAAATCTCTTCGAAATTCTGAGTTTTCCACCCCAAATCTCTTCGGAATTCTGGTTTTTCCATCATTCCCAGCTAAAATTCCCAATTTTTAATTTTATTCCGTTCCAGCTGTTCCTGTACCGGTGCCTGGGCCTGACCCCGGGCGGGGCCGGTGCGGGAATCCCTTGGGAATTCTGGGTTTTCCACCCCAAATCCTTATGGAATTTTCAGGACCTTTGGAATTCTGGTTATTCCATCATTCCCAAATTTTTATTTTATTTTATTCCATTCCATTGCAGGTGTTCCTGTACCGGCTGCTGGGGCTGTCGCTGGCTCAGTGCCCGCGGTCGGGGCCGGTGCGGGAATCCCTTGGGAATTCTGGATTTCCACCCCAAAATCCCTTTGGAATTCTGGTTTTTTCCATCATTCCCAACTCAAATTCCCAATTTTTAATTTTATTTTATTCCGTTCCGTTCCAGCTGTTCCTGTACCGGGTGCTGGGGCTGTCGCTGTCCCAGTGCCCGCGGTCGGGGCCGGTGCGGGAATCCCTTGGGAATTCTGGGTTTCCCACCCCAAAATCCCTTTGGAATTCCGTTTTTTTCCATCATTCCCAGCTCAAATTCCCAATTTTTTATTTTATTCCGTTGCAGCTGTTCCTGTACCGGCTGCTGGGGCTGTCGCTGTCCCAGTGCCCGCGGTCGGGGCATGTGCGGGAATCCCTTGGGAATTCTGGGTTTCCCACCCCAAAATCCCTTTGGAATTCTGGTTTTTTCCATCATTCCCAACTCAAATTCCCAATTTTTTATTTTATTTTGTTTTGTTCTGTTGCAGCTGTTCCTGTACCGGCTGCTGGGGCTGTCGCTGTCCCAGTGCCCGCGGTCGGGGCCGGTGTGGGAATCCCTTGGGAATTCTGGGTTTCCACCCCAAATCTCTTCGGAATTCTGGTTTTTCCATCATTCCCAGCTAAAATTCCCAATTTTTAATTTTATTCCGTTCCAGCTGTTCCTGTACCGGTGCCTGGGCCTGACCCCGGGCGGGGCCGGTGCGGGAATCCCTTGGGAATTCTGGGTTTTCCACCCCAAATCCTTATGGAATTTTCAGGACCTTTGGAATTCTGGTTATTCCATCATTCCCAAATTTTTATTTTATTTTATTCCATTCCATTGCAGCTGTTCCTGTACCGGCTGCTGGGGCTGTCGCTGTCCCAGTGCCCGCGGTCGGGGCCGGTGCGGGAATCCCTTGGGAATTCTGGGTTTCCACCCCAAAATCCCTTTGGAATTCCGGGTTTTTTCCATCATTCCCAACTCAAATTCCCAATTTTTTATTTTATTTCGTTTCATTCCATTGCAGCTGTTCCTGTACCGGCTGCTGGGGCTGGCCCTGGCTCTGTTTCCCCGGGCGGGGCCGGTGCGGGAATCCCTTGGGAATTCTGGGTTTCCCACCCCAAAATCCCTTTGGAATTCTGTTTTTTTCCATCATTCCCAACTCAAATTCCCAATTTTTAATTTCATTTTATTTTTTTGTCATTCCAGGTGTTCCTGTACCGGCTGCTGGGGCTGTCGCTGTCCCAGTGCCCGCGGTCGGGGCCGGTGCGGGAATCCCTTGGGAATTCTGGATTTCCACCCCAAATCCTTATGGAATTTTCAGGACCTTTGGAATTCTGGGTTTTTTCCATCATTCCCAGCTAAAATTCCCAATTTTTTATTTTGTTCCGTTGCAGCTGTTCCTGTACCGGCTGCTGGGGCTGTCGCTGGCTCAGTGCCCGCGGTCGGGGCCGGTGCGGGAATCCCTTGGGAATTCTGGGTTTCCCACCCCAAAATCCCTTTGGAATTCTGTTTTTTTCCATCATTCCCAGCTCAAATTCCCAATTTTTTATTTTATTTCGTTTCGTTCCGTTGCAGCTGTTCCTGTACCGGCTGCTGGGGCTGTCGCTGTCCCAGTGCCCGCGGTCGGGGCCGGTGCGGGAATCCCTTGGGAATTCTGGATTTCCACCCCAAATCCTTATGGAATTTTCAGGACCTTTGGAATTCTGGGTTTTTTCCATCATTCCCAGCTAAAATTCCCAATTTTTTATTTTATTCCGTTGCAGCTGTTCCTGTACCGGCTGCTGGGGCTGTTGCTGTCCCAGTGCCCGCGGTCGGGGCCGGTGCGGGAATCCCTTGGGAATTCTGGATTTCCACCCCAAAATCCCTTTGGAATTCTGTTTTTTTCCATCATTCCCAACTCAAATTCCCAATTTTTAATTTCATTTTATTTTTTTGTCATTCCAGCTGTTCCTGTACCGGCTGCTGGGGCTGTCGCTGTCCCAGTGCCCGCGGTCGGGGCCGGTGCGGGAGCAGCTCCAGGAGCTCCTGGACAGCGCCCGGGGCCTCCACGAGGCCGACAGGGAGGTCAGGAACCCGCGGGAAAATCCCGGAATTCTGGGAAAATGGGGAAAATGGGGAAAATGGGAATGGGGAAAATCTGGGAGTGGGAAATGGGAGTGGGGAAATCTGAGAATGGGGAAATCTGGGAATGGGGAAATGGGAATGGGGAAAATCTGGGAATGGGGAAAATCTGAGAATGGGGAAAATCTGGGAATGGGGAAATTTGGGAATGGGGAAAATCTGAGAATGGGGAAATCTGGGAATGGGGAAATGGGAATGGGGAAAATCTGGGAATGGGGAAATCTGGGAATGGGGAAATAGGAATGAGGAAAATGGGGATGGGGAAATGGGAGTGGGGAAAATCTGGGAATGGGAATGGGAAAAATGGGAATGGGGAAATCTGGGAATGGGGAAAAGGAAATGGGGAAAATGGGAATGGGAAATGGGAAGGGGGAAAATCTGGGAATGGGGAAAAGGAAATGGGGAAAATGGGAATGGGAAATGGGAATGGGGAAAATCTGGGAATGGGGAAAAATGGGGAAAATGGGAATGGGAAATGGGAATGGGGAAAATCTGGGAATGGGGAAAAATGGGGAAAATCTGGGAATGGGAAATCTGGGAATGGGGAAAATCTGGGAATGGGGAAATTTGGGAATGGGGAAATCTGGGAATGGGGAAATAGGAATGAGGAAAATGGGGATGGGGAAATGGGAGTGGGGAAAATCTGGGAATGGGAATGGGAAAAATGGGAATGGGGAAAATCTGGGAATGGGGAAAAGGAAATGGGGACAATCTGGGAGTGGGAAATGGGAATGGGGAAAATGGGGAAAATCTGGGATTGGGAAATCTGGGAATGGGGAAAATCTGGGAATGGGAATGGGAAGATGCGATTGGCGGAAATCTGGAATGGGGAAATGTGAATGGGGAAATTTGGGAATGGGAAAATCTGGGAATGGGGAAATTTGGGAATGGGGAAATTTGGGAATGCGGAAATCTGGCAATGGGGAAAATAAGAGTGGGGAAAATCTGGGAATGGGAATGGGAAAAATGGGAATGGGGAAAATCTGGGAATGGGGAAAAATGGGGAAAATCTGGGAATGGGGAAATGGAAATGGGGAAAATGGGAATGGGAAATGGGAATGGGGAAAATCTGGGAATGGGGAAAAATGGGGAAAATGGGAATGGGAAATGGGAATGGGGAAAATCTGGGAATGGGGAAAAATGGGGAAAATCTGGGAATGGGGAAAATCTGGGAATGGGAAAAATGGGAGTGGGGAAAATGGGATTGGGGAAAATCTGGGAATGGGGAAAATCTGGGAATGGGAATGGGAAATCCGGGAATGGGGAAAATCTGGGAATGGGGAAAATCTGGGAATGGGAAAAATGGGATTGGGGAAAACCTGGGAATGGGGAAATCTGGGAATGGGGAAATGGAAATGGGGAAAATGGGAATGGGAAATGGGAGTGGGAAAACCTGGGAATGGGGAAAATCTGGGTTTGGGAAATCTGGGAATGGGGAAAAATGGGGAAAGTCTGGGATTGGAAAATCTGGGAATGGGAATGGGAAAAATGGGATTGGGGAAAATCTGGGAATGGGAATGGGAAAAATGGGATTGGGGAAAATCTGGGAATGGGAATTCCCAGAAAAATCCCCAGAGAATTCTGGGGGTTTTCCTGCTGGGAACGGCGTGGGAGGCGCTGATTCCGGAATTTCTGGGGGGCTGGAAAGTTTTGGGAATTTTTAAGGGGATGGGGGGAAAAAAGGGTGGAATTCCAGGGAAATTGTGGATAAAATCGTGCAATTCCAAGAATTCCCAGATTTTGGGAAGGAATTTCTGGCTGGGATGGAATTTCCAGGGAATTTTGGTGGAATTCCTGGGATTTCAGCCAGAGGTGGATGTGGACAAGGAAAATGGGAATTGGGAGCGTTGGAAAAGATTTTTTCACCTTTTTTCCATCTTTTTTCCCCAACTTTTTTCCCATCTTTTTTCCAGATTTTTTTCCTTTTTTCCAGTTTTTTTCTATTTTTCCCATATTTTTTCCATTTTCCAGGGTTTTTTTCACTTTTTTCCCAGCATTTTCCCCATCTTTTTTCCAGATTTTTTTCCATTCTCCAGCTTTTTCTTCTCCATTTTTTGGAGCTTTTTTTTTTTCCATGTTTTTTCCAACTTTTCCGGCTTTTTCCAGCTGGAAAAAAAAAAAGGTGGGAAAAAGGTGGGAAAATGAAAATAAAAGATGGAAAAAAGATGGGAAAAAAAGATGAAAAAAAACAGGAAAAAAGGTGGAAAAAAACGGGAAAAAAGGTGGGAAAAAAGAGAATTCCCTTGACGCAACCCAAGAGCTTGGAAATAAATCCTGGAAAAAACTTTGGGAATTTTGCTGCAGGATTTTATTCCCAAAAATCCTTCCAGGGCCTCTCGCTGTGCTTTGGGATCTGTGCCCGGAACCACCTGGAGGAAACTTTGGAGAAATTGGAGGAATTTGTGAATTCCGACGCCTTCAGGAAATCCCAGGGGTTGTTCAGCATCTTCAAGGTGGGAATTTGGGAAAAAAACGGGAAAAAATGGGGAAAAATGAGGAAAAAACTGGGGAGAATGAGGAAAAAATGAGGAAAAAATGGGACGAAATGGGAAGAAAAATGGGAATGGAGAAAAAATGGAGAAAATGGGGGGGAAAATGAGGAAAAAATGGGGAAACATGGGAGAAAAATGGGGAGAAAAAAAGGAAGAAATGGGAGGAAAATGGGGAAAAAAGGAAAAAATTGGGGAAGATGGGGGGAAATGGGGAAAATGGGGGAAATATGGGAAAAATATGGGAAAAATGGGGAAAATTGGGGTAAATGGGAAAAAATAGGGAGAAAATGGGGAGAAAAGGGAAAGAAATGGGAAAATGGGGAAAAATGAGGAAAAAATGGGGGGAAATGGGAAGAAAAATGGGGGGAAAAATTGGGGGGAAATGGGAAAAATGGGAATGGAGAAAAAAATGGGGAAAATGGGGGGAAAAATGAGGAAAAAATGGGAAACATGGGAGAAAAATGGGGAGAAAAAAAGGAAGAAATGGGAGGAAAATGGGGAAAAAAGGAAAAAATTGGGGAAGATGGGGGGAAATGGGGAAAATGGGGGAAATATGGGAAAAATATGGGAAAAATGGGGAAAATTGGGGTAAATGGGAAAAAATAGGGAGAAAATGGGGAGAAAAGGGAAAGAAATGGGAAAACGGGGAAAAATGAGGAAAAAATGGGGGGAAATGGGAAGAAAAATGGGGGGAAAAATTGGGGGGAAATGGGAAAAATGGGAATGGAGAAAAAAATGGGGAAAATGGGGGAAAAATGAGGAAAAAATGGGGAAACATGGGAGAAAAATGGGGAGAAAAAAAGGAAGAAATGGGAGGAAAATGGGGAAAAAAGGAAAAAATTGGGGAAGATGGGGGGAAATGGGAAAAACGGGGGGAAAATGGGGAAGAAAATGGGGGAAAATATGGGAAAAATGGGGAAAATTGGGGTAAATGGAAAAAAATAGGGAGAAAATGGGGAGAAAGGGGAAAGAAATGGGAAAATGGGGGAAAAATGGGGGAAAAATGGGGAAAAAAATGAGGAAGAAATGAGGAAAAAAGGGAAAGAAATGGGAAAATAGGGAAAATGGGAAAAAGTGAGAGAAAAATGCGGAAAAATGGGAAAAATATGGGAAAAATGGGGGGAAAGAGAAAAAGGGGGGGAAAAGGGAAGTAAAAATGGGGAAATGGTAGAAAAACAGTAAGGAAAAAAAGGGGAAGAATGGGGAAAAATTCACGGGAAAATGGGAAAAAATGGGGAAAAAATGGGGAAAAATGGGGATGGGGAGGGATGGGAATGGCCTCAGGTTGAGGATTTTTTGGGAATATTTCATCCATTCCTTGGAATTCCAGGATTTCCAGAGGATTTTTGTGGTTTTGAACAGGAAATTCCCTTGGGAATTCCAGGATTTTAATGGGAATTCCGTGATTTCTGGAATTCCGTGACCTCAAAATTCCGTGTATTTCGGAATTCCCTAATTCAGGAATTCCAAAACTCCCTGATCCCAGAATTCCATGAAATTGGAATTCAGTTTTTCCCGTGCTTTTCCATGGTTTTTCATGTGTTTTCCCCATATTTCCCCACGTTTTCCCATTTTTTCTCGCGGTTTTCCCATTTTCCCACTTTTTCCTGTGTTTTCCCAGGTTTTCCCCGCATTTTTCCATATTTCTCTATGTTGATCTCATTTCCCCCCATTTTCCTCCCATTTTCCCCCTTTTTTTTTTTCTCGTATTTTTGCCCCATTTCCCCCAATTTTTCTCCCCATTTCCCTCCCATTTCCTTCCCCTTTTCCCTCCATTTTCCTCCCCATTTCCCCAAATTTCCCCAAATTTTATCCCCTCATTCTTCCCCATTTCACCTTTCATTTTCCCATATTTTTTCCCTATCTTATCCACCCATTTCCCCCCTATTTTACCCCCATTCCCCCTCATTTTCCCATATTTTCGCCCCATTTCCCCCCATATTTTTTCCATGTTTTTCCCCAACTTCCCTGCCCATTTTCTCTATTTTATCCCCACCATTTTACCCAATTTCCCCACATCTTTCCCACATTTCCCTCCCCATTCCACCTCCGTTTTCTCGATTTTATTCCCCCATTTTCCCCCCATTTTGCCCCCCATTTCCCCTCCAATTTTCCCATATTTTCCCCCAATTTTCCCCTCATTTTCTCCCATTTTCCATATTTTTCCCTTTTTTCCCCTCCATTTCCCCCTTCACCCATGTTTTCTTTCTGCTTTTCCCCCATTTTCCCCCCTTTTTCCACCATTTCCCCAATTTCCTCTATTTTTCCCCTATTTCCACCCATTTTCTTTATATTTTCCTCCCATTATTCCCAATTTCCCCCCCCCTTTTCCCCCCATTATCCCCCCAATTTTCCCCATATTTCCCCTACATTTTCCCTGTTTTCCCCCCTATTTCCCCCCATTTTTCTCTCATTTTTCCTCCCATGTCGCCCCATTTTTCCCTTATTTCCCCCACATTTCCCCCATTTCCCCCACATTTTCCATATTTTTCCCTTATTATTCCCAGTTTTCCCCCTCTTTTTCCCCATTATCCTCTCAGATTTTTCCCACATTTTCCTTCCATTTCCCCCCCCAATTTACCCCCATGTTTTTCCACATTTCTCCCTGATTTCCCCCCATTTTCCCCCATTATTCCAAATTTTTCCCCCCATTTTCCCCATATTTTCCCCCATTTCCCCCCCCATTTTTCTTCCATTTTCTCTTCTATTTCCCCATATTTTTCCTTATTTTGCCCTACATTTTCACCCCATTTTCCCCCTATTTACCCAATTCCCACCCCATTTTCCCCATACTTCCCCCTATTTTTAATCATATTTTCTCCCCATTCCTCCCCATGTTCCCCCCCATTTCCCCCCCTTTTTTCACATGTTTTCCCCATTTTTTTCCTCTATTTCCCCCCATTATTCCCAGTTTTTCTCCCTCTTTTCCCCCCATTTCCCCCATATTTTTCCCCATGTTTTTCCCACATTTCCCCCCATTCTCCCTATGTTATTCCCCCATTTTCCCATATTTTCCCCCCATTTTCCCCTCACTTTTCCCTGTTTTCTCCCCATTTTTTGCCCATTTCCCCTCCCACTTTCCCCCTTGGTTCCCCCATTTCCTCTCCACTTTCCCCATATTTCCCCCCCCATTTTTTCCACGTTTTTCCCATGTTTTTTCCCCAATTTTTCCATGTTTCTCCCTGTATTTCCCCCAATTTTTCCATGTTTTTCCCATGGTTTTTCCCCAATTTTTTCATGTTTTTCCCCATATTTTCCCCCATTTTTTCCATATTTTTACTCATATTTCCTCCCCAATTTTCCCATATTTTTCCCCATATTTCCCCCCCCAATTTTCCCATGTTTTTGCCATGGTTTATTCCATGTTTTTGCCATGGTTTATTTCATGTTTTTGCCATGGTTTATTCCATGTTTTTGCCATGGTTTATTTCATGTTTTTGCCATGGTTTATTCCATGTTTACCCCCCCAGGAGTGCAGTGAGGCCGAGCAGGAGGAGGAGCGGCCGCCCTCGTGCTCCCCCCATTCTCCCATGGTTTTCCCCATATTTCCCCCCCAATTTTCCCATGTTTTTCCCATGTTTATTCCATGTTTTTTCCATGTTTCCCCCTAGGAAAGGAGTGAAGCGGAGCAGGAGAAGCAGCGACCGCCCTCGTGCTCCCCCCATTTTCCCATGTTTTTCCCATGGTTTATTCCTTGTTTTTGCCATGGTTTATTCCATGTTTTTCCCATGGTTTTTTCCATGTTTTTCCCCATATTTTCCCCCCAATTTTTCCCATGTTTTTCCCCATATTTTCCCCATGTTTATCCATGTTTTTCACATGTTTATCCATGTTTTTCCCACCCAGGAGCGCAGCGAAGCGGAGCAGGAGAAGCAGCGCGCCACCTCGTGCTCCCCCCATTTTCCCATGGTTTTCCCATATTTTCCCCCAATTTTTCCCACATTTTCCCCCATATTTTCCCCCCAATTTTCCCATGTTTTCCCCATGTTTATTCCATGTTTTTCCCCGGTTTCCCACCAGGAGAGGAGTGAAGCGGAGCAGGAGAAGCAGCGACCGCCCTCGTGCTCCCCCCATTTTCCCATGTTTTTCCCATGGTTTATTCCTTGTTTTTGCCATGGTTTATTCCATGTTTTTCCCATGGTTTTTTCCATGTTTTTCCCATATTTTTCCCCCAATTTTTCCCATGTTTTTCTCCATATTTTCCCCATGTTTATCCCATGTTTTTCACATGTTTATCTCGTGTTTTTCCCACCCAGGAGCGCAGCGAAGCGGAGCAGGAGAAGCAGCGCACCACCTCGTGCTCCCCCCATTTTCCCATGTTTTTCCCCTATTTTCCCCCAATTTTTCCCATTTTTTTCCCCATATTTTCCCCCCAATTCTCCCATGTTTTTTCCATGTTTTTCCCCATGTTTTCCCCATGTTTATTCCATGTTTTTCCCATGTTTTTCTCCCCTAGGAGCGCAGCGAAGCGGAGCAGGAGAAGCAGCGCGCCACCTCGTGCTCCCCCATTTTCCCATGTTTTTCCCCTATTTTCCCCCAATTTTTCCCAGGTTTTTCCCCATATTTCCCCCCCAATTTTTCCATGTTTTCCCCATGTTTATCCCATGTTTATCCCATGTTTTTCCCACCAGGAGAGGAGTGAAGCGGAACAGGAGAAGCAGCCGCCGCCCTCGTGCTCCCCCCATTTTCCCATGTTTTTCCCCATATTTTCCCCCAATTTTCCCATGTTTATTCCATGTTTCTCCCCATATTTTCCCCCCAATTTTCCCATGTTTTCCCCATGTTTATTCCATGTTTTTCCCCGGTTTCCCACCAGGAGAGGAGCGAAGCAGAGCAGGAGAAGCAGCGGCCGCCCTCGTGCTCCCCCCATTTTCCCATGTTTTTCCCCATATTTTGCCCCCAATTTTTCCATGTTTATCCCATGTTTATCCCATGTTTTTCCCATGTTTTCCCACCCAGGAGCGCAGCGAGGCGGAGCAGGAGAAGCAGCGGCCGCCCTCGTGCTCCCCCCATTCTCCCATGGTTTTCCCACATTTTTCCCCATATTTTGCCCCCATATTTTCCCATGTTTTTTCCATGATTTTCCCCATGTTTTCCCCATGTTTATTCCATGTTTTTCCCATGCTTTTCCCCCCTAGGAGAGGAGTGAAGCGGAACAGGGGAAGCAGTGGCCGCCCTTGTGCTCCCCCCATTTTCCCATGTTTTTCCCCATATTTTCCCCCCAGTTTTCCCATGTTTTTCCCATGGTTTATTCCATGTTTTTCCCATGGTTTATTCCATGTTTTTCCCATGGTTTATTCCATGTTTATTCCATGTTTTTCCCCATATTTTTCCCCATATTTTCCCATGTTTTTTCCATGTTTTTCCCCATGTTTTCCGCATGTTTTCCCCATGTTTTCCCCATGTTTATCCCATGTTTTTGTCCCCCAGGAGCGCAGCGAGGCGGAGCAGGAGAAGCTGCGCGCGGCCCTGGTGCTCTGTTACGGCCGCGTGGCCGCGGCGGCGCCCCCGGAGCTGCTGCGCGCGCGCCTGGAGCCGCAGCTGCTGCAGAGGCTCCTGCAGCACGCCAAAACCAAGGTCAGAATGCCGGGAATTTATTGGGGATTTTATAGGAATTTATTGGGAATTCATTGTGAATTCTATGGGAATTTATTGGGGATTTACTGGGAATTTATTGAGAATTTTCGGGGATTTTTTTGGGATTTTTTTGGAATTTTTTTGGAATTTTTTTCTTATTTTTCTGAGAATTGTTGCTGGAATTTTTGAGGATTTTTTTGGGAGATTTTTTCAAATTTTTGGGGGAATTTTGAGAGAATTTTCAATCAATTTTTATTGAATTTTTAATGAGCGGCGGCGCCCCCGGAGCTGCTGCGCTCGCGCCTGGAGCCGCAGCTGCTGCAGAGGCTCCTGCAGCACGCCAAAACCAAGGTCAGAATGCCGGGAATTTATTGGGGATTTTATAGGAATTTATTGGAATTTATTGCAAATTCTATGGGAATTTATTGGGAATTTATTGGGAATTTACTGGGAATTTATTGAGAATTTTCGGGGATTTTTTGGGATTTTTCTGGAATTATTTTTCTGAGAATTGTTGCTGGAATTTTTGGGGATTTTTTTGGGGATTTTTTCAAATTTTTGGGGGAATTTGGAGGGAATTTTTCAATCAATTTTTACTGAATTTTTAATGAGCGGCGGCGCCCCCGGAGCTGCTGCGCTCGCGCCTGGAGCCGCAGCTGCTGCCCCGGCTCCTGCAGCACGCCAAAACCAAGGTCAGAATGCCGGGAATTTAAGGGAATTTTTGGGAATTTTCTTTGGGATTTTCTTTGGGATTTTCTTTGGGAATTTTGGGGATTTTTTTGGAAATTTTTTGGAATGTTTTTGAATTTTTTTTCTAATTTTCTGGTAATTTTGGGGGAATTTTTGGGAATTTTCTGGGATTTTTGGGGGGATTTTTTGGATTTTTAGGGGTATTTTGAAGCAATTTTTTGTAATTTTCCCAGGATTTTGAGGGAAATTTTCGGGGACTCTCCTGGGAATTCATTGAGAATTTTTTAAAGAATTTTTGGGATTTCTTGGGGACTTTACAGGGAATGTGTTGGGGAATTTTGGGGGATTTTTGGGGGAATTTACGGGGAATGTGTTGGGGAAATTTGTGGGATTTTTTGGGGGATTTAAAAAAATTTTTTGGGGAATTTTAAATTTTTTACGGAATTTTCAATGACCAGCGGTGGTGCACGCAGAGCTGCTGCAGCGCCTCCTGCAGCATCAACGCACCAAGGTCAGAAACAGGAATTTATGGAGAATTTTATAGGAATTTATTGGGAATTTTTTGGGAATTTTATGGTGTTTTATTGGGAATTTTTGGGGAATTTTTTTGGAATTTTCAGGGATTTTTGGAGATTTTTTCCTGATTTTTTTTAAATTTTTTCAAATTTTTTGGTAATTTTTGGGGAACTTTTGGGGATTTACGCAGAATTTAAAAGGAATTTTTGGCGATCTTTTGGGGAATTTTCTGGGAATTTTCCAAAAATTTTCTGGGAATTTTCCAGGAAGTATCCAAACACTTTCTGGAGTTTTTTGGGAATTTTTTTTAATTTACAGGGAATTTAATGGGATTTTTGGGGAATTTTTTGGGAAATCTTGAAAAAAAAATTTATTAAATTTTCAGTGAGGGGTGGTGGTACCTGGAGGAACTGGTCAGCACTGGGAATTTTCTGGGAATTTCATGGGAAATTTATTGGGAATTTATTAGGAATTTTATGGGAACTTACAGGGAATGTTTGGGGATTTTTGGGAATTTTTGGGGGACTTTTTTTGAAATTTCTGTGAATTCCCTGTGAGTTTTCAGAGAATTTCCCAGGAATTTTCTGGGAATTTTTTTGGCATTTTCCAGGAATTTTCTGGGAATTTTTCATGATTTTTTTTTTTAATTTTCCATCAATTTCCTGGAAGTTTTCTGGGAATTTTCAATTAATTTCCCAGGATTTTCCCAGGATTTCTTGGGAGGTTTAAAAAAAATCATTCCAAGGGTTTTGGAAGTTTTGGGATTGGGATTTTCCCCTGGAATCTTATTTTTTTCCTGATGGAATTTCATAATTTCCAATGGAGTTTCGTTTTTTCCAGGGGAATTTTTGTGTTTTTCCAAGGGAATTTTGCTTTTCCCACTGGATTTTCATTTTTGTCCCACTGGAATTTCGATTTTTCCAATGGGATTTTGGCTTTTCCGGTTGGAATTTTATTTTTCCCGCTGGAATTTTGCTTTTCCCAGTGGAATTTGGGATTTTCCTGATGGGAATTTTGTTTTTTCCACTTGTTCAGGTTCTGGGAATAAAAGTAGAGCCCAAGGTAGGGAATTTTGGGATTGGCCTTGGAATTTTCTCTCTTTCTGCTTTTTCTTCTCATTCCGGGCTGGAAGCGCTTCCTGAGAAAAATCCGGAATTCTGGGGAAATTCCCAGGAAAATTCCCAGGAAAATTCCTGGGAAAAGGCTTTTCTTGGCAGAGGGACCTGGAAATTCCAGCCCAGAATTCCATGATCCCAAAACTCCATTAATTCCCCAACCCTAAAATTCAATAATTCCATTTTCCTGGAATTCCGCAATTCCACAATTCCATAAATTCCATAAATTTAATTAATTCCGTGTTCCCAAAATTCCACAATTCCAGAAATTCCACGATCCTGTAACTCCGTAATTCCATAACTCCATTATTTTGTCTTTCCACAATCCCGGAATTCCATAAATTCCATGATCCCATAGTTCAGCAATCCCAGAATTCCAAAATTCAATACTTCCCTGAATCTGTAATTCCGCAATTCCAGAATTCCATAAATTTCACAATTCCATGATCGCAGAATTCCACAATCCCAGAATTCCATGAATTCCACAATTCCCTAAATTCCGTCATTCCATAAATTCCACATTTCCTCAATTCAATACGTCCCTGATTCCATAATTACATAAATTTCCATCAATTCCCTGAATTCCATAAATTCCACGATCCCAAAATTCAATAATTCCTTGATTTGGGAATTCCACGATCCCACAATTCCATTATCGAAGAAATCCATGAATTCCACAATTCCATTATCCCAGAATTCCACAATCCCAGAATTCCATGTATTCCATAAATTCCATGATCCCAGAATTCCATGAATTCCACAATCCCAAAATTAAATAATTCCCTGATTCTGGAATTCCGTGATGCCATGAATCTGGGATTCCATGAATTCCACGGTGCCAGAATTCCGTAATTGTGGAATTCCATAAATTCCGTGATTCCACAATTCTAGAATTCCACAATCCCATTGTTCTGGAATTGCAAAATTCCATAAATCCCATCGATTCCATCGATTCCATAAATTCCATTACCACAGAATTCAATAATTCCTTGATTCTGGAATTCCATCATTTCATTGTTCTGGAATTCCACAATCCCAGAATTCCATAAGTTCCGTAAACTCCGTAAATTCCATGAATTCCATGATCCCAGAATTCCATGAATTCCACAATCCCAAAGTTCAATAATTCCTTGATTCTGGAATTCCGTGATCCCAGAATTCCATCAATCTGGAATTTCACAATTCCATAAATTCCATGATGCCAGAATTCAGTATTTCCACGATCGCAGAATTCCTTTAATTCCATAAATTCCACAAATTCCACAATTGCACCAATCTGGAATTCCACAATCCCAGAATTCCATGAATTCCACAATCCCAAAATTAAATAATTCCCGATTCTGGAATTCCATCCCAAAATTAAATAATTCCTGATTCTGGAATTCCGTGATGCCATGAATCTGGGATTCCATAAATTCCATAAAATTCCATGGTACCAGAATTCCATAATTGTGGAATTCCATAAATTCCGTGATTCCACAATTCTAGAATTCCACAATCCCATTGTTCTGGAATTCCAAAATTCCATAAATCCCATGAGCCCACAATCTCATCATTCCATGATTCTGAAATTCTGCAATTTCTTAATTCCATGATCCCAGAATTCCATTAATTCCACAATTCCAAAATTCAGTAATTCCATGATCCCAGAATTCCACAATTCCATCAATCCCACAAAAATCCCAAAATTCAATAATTCTGATTCTGGGAATTCCAGAATTCTCTGAATTCCATAAAATCCCTTGAAATTCCCAGATTTCCCAAAATCCTCCCCCAGTCTGGGATCCATCCCCAAAATCCCCAATCCCAAAATTCCCAAATCCCCAACCCCAAAATTCCCAAATTCCCAAATTCCCAAATCCCCAAATCCCCAATCCCAAAATTCCCAAATCCCCAAATCCCCAAATCTCCAAATCCCCAATCCCAAAATTCCCAAATCCCAAAATCCCCAAAATTCCCAATCTCCAATCCCCAATCCCAAAATTCCCAAATTCCCAAATTCCCAAATTCCCAAATCCCCAAATCTCCAAATCCCCAATCCCAAAATTCCCAAAATTCCCAAATCCCCAATCCCCAATGTCAAAATTCCCAAATCCCAAAATCCCCAAATCTCCAATCCCCAATTCCAAATTCCCAAATTCCCAAATCCCCAATCCCCAATCCCAAAATTCCCAAATCCCAAAATCCCCAAATCCCCAAATCCCCAATCCCAAAATTCCCAAATCCCCAAATCTCCAAATCCCCAATCCCAAAATTCCCAAATCCCAAAATCCCCAAAATTCCCAAATTCCCAAATTCCCAATCCCCAAATCCCCAATCCCCAAATCCCCAAAATTCCCAAATTCCCCAAAATCCCCAAAATCCCCAAATCCCCAAATCCCAATCCCAAAATTCCCAAATCCCAAAATCCCCCAAAATTCCCAAATTCCCAATCCCAAATTCCCAAAATTCCCAAATCTCCCCCCAGGATTTTCCCTTGGGATCCATCCTGAGGTTTTCCCCATCCTGGGAATTCCAAGGGTTTGGGATTGGGGCATTCCAGAATTTCCCATGGAATTTTCCCCTCTGGAATTCCGAGGGTTGGGATTGGGGCATTCCGGAATTTCCCATGGAATTTTCCCCTCTGGAATTCCGAGGGTTGGGGTTGGGGCATTCCAGAATTTCCCATGGAATTTTCCCCTCTGGAATTCCGAGGGTTGGGATTGGGGCATTCCGGAATTTTCCATGGAATTTTCCCCTCTGGAATTCCGAGGGTTGGGATTGGGGCATTCCGGAATTTTCCATGGAATTTTCCCCTCTGGAATTCCGAGGGTTGGGATTGGGGCATTCCGGAATTTTCCATGGAATTTTCCCCTCTGGAATTCCGAGGGTTGGGATTGGGGCATTCCGGAATTTTCCATGGAATTTTCCCCATCCTGGGAATTCCGAGAGTTGGGGTTGGGGCATTCCGGAATTTTCCATGGAATTTTCCCCTCTGGAATTCCGAGGGTTGGGATTGGGGCATTCCGGAATTTTCCATGGAATTTTCCCCTCTGGAAATCCGAGGGTTGGGATTGGGGCATTCCGGAATTTTCCATGGAATTTTCCCCTCTGGAATTCCGAGGGTTGGGGTTGGGGCATTCCGGAATTTCCCATGGAATTTTCCCCTCTGGAATTCCCGCAGTGGGGATTGGGGCATTCTGGAATTTCCCATGGAATTTTCCCCTCTGGAATTCCGAGGGTTGGGATTGGGGCATTCTGGAATTTCCCATGGAATTTTCCCCTCTGGAATTCTGAGGGTTGGGGTTGGGGCATTCCGGAATTTTCCATGGAATTTTCCCCATCCTGGGAATTCCGAGGGTTGGGGTTGGGGCATTCCGGAATTTTCCATGGAATTTTCCCCTCTGGAATTCCGAGGGTTGGGATTGGGGCATTCCGGAATTTCCCATGGAATTTTCCCCTCTGGAATTCCGAGGGTTGGGATTGGAGCATTCCGGAATTTTCCATGGAATTTTCCCCTCTGGAATTCCGAGGGTTGGGATTGGCGCATTCCAGAATTTCCCATGGAATTTTCCCCTCTGGAATTCCGAGGGTTGGGATTGGGGCATTCCAGAATTTCCCATGGAATTTTCCCCTCTGGAATTCCGAGGGTTGGGGTTGGGGCATTCCGGAATTTTCCATGGAATTTTCCCCATCCTGGGAATTCCGAGGGTTGGGATTGGGGCATTCCGGAATTTCCCATGGAATTTTCCCCCTCTGGAATTCCGAGGGTTGGGATTGGGGCATTCCGGAATTTCCCATGGAATTTTCCCCATCCTGGGAATTCCGAGGGTTGGGGTTGGGGCATTCCGGAATTTCCCATGGAATTTTCCCCTCTGGAATTCCGAGGGTTGGGATTGGGGCATTCCGGAATTTCCCATGGAATTTTCCCCATCCTGGGAATTCCGAGGGTTGGGATTGGGGCATTCCGGAATTTCCCATGGAATTTTCCCCTCTGGAATTCCGAGGGTTGGGGTTGGGGCATTCTGGAATTTCCCATGGAATTTTCCCCTCTGCAATTCCGAGGGTTGGGATTGGGGCATTCTGGAATTTCCCATGGAATTTTCCCCTCTGGAATTCTGAGGGTTGGGGTTGGGGCATTCCGGAATTTTCCATGGAATTTTCCCCATCCTGGGAATTCCGAGGGTTGGGGTTGGGGCATTCCGGAATTTCCCATGGAATTTTCCCCTCTGGAATTCCGAGGGTTGGGATTGGAGCATTCCGGAATTTTCCATGGAATTTTCCCCTCTGGAATTCCGAGGGTTGGGATTGGAGCATTCCAGAATTTCCCATGGAATTTTCCCCTCTGGAATTCCGAGGGTTGGGGTTGGGGCATTCCAGAATTTCCCATGGAATTTTCCCCTCTGGAATTCCGAGGGTTGGGATTGGGGCAATCCAGAATTTTCCATGGAATTTTCCCCAATGGAATTGCGAGGGTTGGGGTTGGGGCATTCCGGAATTTCCCATGGAATTTTCCCCTCTGGAATTCCGAGGGTTGGGGTTGGGGCATTCCGGAATTTTCCATGGAATTTTCCCCATCCTGGGAATTCCGAGAGTTGGGGTTGGGGCATTCCGGAATTTTCCATGGAATTTTCCCCTCTGGAATTCCGAGGGTTGGGATTGGGGCATTCCGGAATTTCCCATGGAATTTTCCCCTCTGGAATTCTGAGGGTTGGGATTGGAGCATTCTGGAATTTTCCATGGAATTTTCCCCTCTGGAAATCCGAGGGTTGGGATTGGGGCATTCCGGAATTTCCCATGGAATTTTCCCCTCTGGAATTCCGAGGGTTGGGGTTGGGGCATTCCGGAATTTCCCATGGAATTTTCCCCTCTGGAATTCCCGCAGTGGGGATTGGGGCATTCTGGAATTTCCCATGGAATTTTCCCCTCTGGAATTCCGAGGGTTGGGATTGGGGCATTCTGGAATTT